TTTGCAATTTCCAATTGCAGAACCAAGTTTATCATGCCTCACCTCAAAGACACCAGCACTGCTGAATGTGGTGGCGTGCACCTATAGAACCAGCCACTCAGGAAGCAGAGGGGGAAGGAGCTAGAGCCCAGGAATTCGACGCTGGTAGTGTGCAAAGGTCAGGCCTATAAATAGCCACTGCCCTCCAGCATGGGCAACATAGCAAGACCGAATCTAAAAAAAAAAAAAAAAATCATCCAGTTGGCACTCTTCCTCAGAGGTCAGCGTTTTAGTTTCTGCTCTAAGCTTCTAATTTGTAATAATTCCAACCTTTTTTTTTTTTTTTTTTTTTTTTTGAGATAGAGTCTTATTCTGTTGGCCATGCTGGAGTGCAGTGGTGCAGTCTCGGGTCACTGGAACCTCCGCCCTCTGAGTTCAAGCACTTATCCTGCCTCAGCCTCCTGAGTAGCTGGGATTACAGGCACCTCCCACCATGCCTGGCTAATTTTTGTATTTTTAGTAGAGAGGGGGTTTTGTCATTTTGGCCAGGCCAGTCTTGAACTCCTGACCTCGTGATCCACCCACCTTGGCCTCCCAAAGTACTGCGATTACAGGCGTGAGCCACCTTGCCCAGCCCCAACCTATTTTCTTTGTTCCCTCAGCCAAGGAATTCATAGCTGCTTCCTGCTGTTACTGCCTCTGTGATACTGTAACCTTTCAGTTATCCTGGGCTCAAGTGGTGATCGTCGCATCTCAGCGTCCTGAATAGCTGAGACTACAGATGCACACCACCAGGTCTGGATACTTTTTAAACTTTTTGTAGAGACATAGTATCGCTATGTTGTCCATGTTAGTCTCAAACTCCTGGATTCAAGCAATACTCCCACCTCGACCTTCCAAAATGGTGGAATTACAGGCATGAGCCACCACACCTAGCCCTAACTTTTTATATAGATTGACAAGTATTTATGTATAATTTTATTTTGCTTAAGGAACTCAGTTCAAATAGTTCTTTTTTTTTTTTTTTCAGACAGGGTCTCACTCTGTCACTGAGGCTAGAGTGCAGTGGTGTAATCATGGCTCCCTGCAGCCTCCACCTCCCAGGCTCAAGCCATCCTCCCGCCTCAGCCTCTTAAGTAACTGGGACCACAGGCATACACCACCATGTTCAGCTAATTTTTTTTTTTAAATAGATATCGGGTTTTGACATGTTGTCCAGGCTGCAAATACTAATTTTTATTTTTATTTTTTGAGATGGATTCTTGCTCTGTTGCCCAGGCTGGAGTGCAGCGGCACAACCTTGGCTCACCACAACCTCTGCCTCTTGAGTTCAAATGATTCTCCTGCAGCAGCCTCCCGAGTAGCTGGGACTACAGGTACACGCCACCATGCCCAGCTAATTTTTGTATTTTTAGTAGAGATGGGGTTTCACGATGTTGGCCAGGCTGGTCACAAACTCCTGACCTCGTGATGCACCTGCCTCAGCTCCCTAAAGTGCTGGGATTACAGGCATGAGCCACCATGCCCAGCCAATTCTTTATATTAAATTATTATTATTATTATTTTGAGATGAAGTCTCACTCTGTTACCTGGGCTGGGAGTGCAGTCACATGATCTCAGCTCACTGCAACTTCTGCCTCCCAGGTTCAAGCGATTCTCCTGTCTCAGCCTCCCAAGTAGCTGGGATTATAGGCACCCACCACTATGCCTAGCTAATTTTTTGTATTTTTAGTAGAGACGGGGTTTCACCATGTTGGTTAGGATGGTCTCAAACTCCTGACCTCATGATTCACCCACCTCAGCCTCCCAAAGTTCTGGGATTACAGGTGTGACTCACCGCACCCGACCATATTAAATTATTTCTGTTCAAACAACTGGGATGGTTTCTGTCTCCTGACTAGAGTGTGACTGATACAGACCCCAGTACTGGCCGATCATATCTTATTCTGACTCTTTCCACTCCTTTTATAGTTGGAGTATATAGGGTGAGTGGGCATAGCAACTACCTTCCACACTATTGAAGATGACAATTTCACCAAATATTTTGCTACAGCATAACAGAGATCTCCAGCCATCCAGCCTGCTTTATCTAATCCAATATATGGCACTGAATTAATGATCAAGCAGCAATCCATTGCCTGGCCATTAATTCAGTGCCATATATTTTTGTTTTTATTATATCAACATCCCATTCCTGATACTACTTTCTGTATTGATAAGGATCAGTTAATTGCTATAGTAAATTACCTCTCAAACTCATTGGCTTATACAACAAAACTGTATTTCTTGCTCAATTCAGTGTTTAATATAAGTTAGTCATAGTAGAGGAGAGTTCTGCTCTGCACAATTATGCAGGGACTCAAGTTCCTTCCATCTTGTGTCCACCCTCTTCTAGGTTCTTCAGAATCTCCTTTACTCCCATAGCAGATAGGAAGGAAGGAGAGCAAGGATCAACACCTGGGAGTTTTATGGGCCATCCTAGGAGTAGTAACTGTCACTTCCACTAGCTAGAATTCAGTCACATGGCCACATCTGTCTGTTAAAGAAGCTGGGAACTGTAGGTATTGGTGAGAACAAGATGTTTATACTACATTAAATGGCTAATTAGTGACATTTAAGATAAATTTTAGGGGAGTGATGTAGACCGGGGCCAAATTGTAAGAAGTTAGGAAGTCATAAGGGACAAGGGGTTTTGCCATGATGCCCAGGCTGATCTGGAACTCCTGAGCTCAAGCCATCCACCTGCCTCAGCCTCCCAAAGTGCTGGAATTACAGGCGTGAGCCACCGTGCACAGCATTTTTTGTTTTTTAAACAGGGTCTCACTGTGTCACCCAGGCTGGAGTGCAGTGGCACAATCATGGCTCACAGTAGCCTTGACTTCCTGGACTCAGGCGATCCTCCCACCTCAGCCTTCCAAGTAGCTGGAACTACAGGTGCATGCCACCACATCCAGCTTAATTTTTAATTATTTTTGTAGAGATGGGGTCTTGCTACATTGCTGAGGCTGGTCTTGAACTCCTGGGTTCAAGAAATCCTCCCTCCTTGGCCTCCCAAAATGCTGGCATTATAGATGTGAGCACTATGCCCAGCCTTGTTGTTTAATTGCTAAAGAATTGAGCGGCTGGACGTGGTGGCACATGCCTGTAATCCCAGCACTTTAGGAGACCGAGGTGGGTGGATCACCTGAGGTCAGAAGTTCGAGACTAATCTGGCCAACATGGTGAAACCCCATCCTAAAAAAGAAAGAAAGAAACGAAAAAGTATTGAGCATGTATTTGCAGTATCAATGAACAGGAAGAGAGATAGGACATGAGTTTGGAGTTTTATCAGGCTTAAATAAATAAATAAAATGGAGTTCTATCGGCCTTACTTAAAAAAAAAAAAAAAAAAAAGGACGTGAGTGGAGGGTTGGGCATGGGCTTTGGCAGAAGAAGGCCTACATCTTCTAAGATGAGAAGAAAGGATAGACGCAAATCAAGAGAAATTATGAAATAGGAGGTAAACTGAAAATCAAGTAGGATTGCTTTGGTTTCTATAAAGTGAGGAGAAAAAAGAAAAGGTTTCAGGTTGTGAGAGGACCTAGTTAAGGTGGGACAGCAGGAATCTGTACTGGAACCAGTATGTCTAGTTTTGTGACTTTGTTCCACAGCCAAGGAGCAAAAGGGGAGGAAGGTCACCATGTGGTTCGCTCAAGGTGGGGCTCATCAGTTTGAGAGCCTGTGGCACCAAAGACACAGCTGAGCAGCCTTTGGCATGTATATCAATTATGCAAGGTCACTGTTGTTGCCTTTCTACTCCTCCCCATTGTATATTGTTACTTCCTTTCCTACTTTCTCCTATCCTGGTCTCCAGTTCTCTTTTTCCTTACACTTTTCCTTAGGTTTTACAGTAACCCCAGTGTGACAGACACACCCTAAGCTTACCCCCAATGATTCCTGCCTCCTGGTATTTATGCCTTGTTTGATTCCCTTTTCTTGAGTGCAGATGGGTCCTGTGCCTTGCTTTTAACCACAGGAGATGGCAATGATGATGGGATGATATCTGTCACATATCTAATAAGCTATATCAAACTCTGTCTTCATAGTCTGGAGCTAGAGACCCTCATTGTCAACTTCATGAAGTTAAGTGGTCGTTTAGGAGAAGGCTGCATGGCAAGGAAATGTGATAATCTCTAGGAACTGCAGGTGGCTTCTGGAACCTGAGGGAGGCCCCCCCAGCAAACAGCCAGCAAAAATTCCAGGCCCTCCTCAGTTATACAGTTGCAAGTAAATTAATTCTGCCAACAACCCAAATGGGCTTGCAAGTGGATTCTTCCCAGGTGAGAATGCAGCCTGGCTGATACCTTGATCACTGATCAAGTTATGAGAATCATACCAGGCTGCATTCTCATCTAGGCTGATCCAGATGAGAATGCAGCCTTGATGAGACTCTTGATCGCAGCCTTGTGAGACTCTAAGCAGAGGACCCATCTAAGCTGTTCATGGGCTCCTGACCTGGAACCTGTTAGATAATGTTTGTCTGTTTGGTTTTGTTTTTGTTTTGTTTTGAGACGGAGTTTCACTCTATTGCCAGGCTGGAGTATGGTGGCGCGATCTAGGCTTACTGCAACTGCCACCTCTTGGGCTCAGGTGGTTCTCCTGCCTCAGCCTCCTGAGTAGCTGGGATTACAGGCACGTGCCACCACGCCCAGCTAATTTTTGTATTTTTTTGTAGAGACGGGGTTTCACCATGTTGGCCAGGATGGTATCGATCTCTTGATTTCGTGATCCGCCCACTTCAGTCTCCCAAAATGCTGGGACTACAGGGGTGAGCCACTGCACCTGGCCGATAATGTTTGTTTTAAGCCTTAAATTTGTGGTAACTTGTTACACAGAAGTAGAAAAGGAATACACCCAGAATTTCTGAAAAAACACCGGGGCCCTCAGGCATGACCCCTACATTATGTGCTACCTAAGAAACTCTGGGCCTGGGCCCAGGATACAGAACTTGGTGAACGAGGCCAGAGACTGTGCCACACACCCCCCAGTGGGCACTCTGGACTTCAAGGTAGAAGAGGCCCTGGCTTTCAAAGCAAATCGGGTGCCCTCTCCAACCCCCCATCTCCGCCTGCCTGCCCCTGCAAATGCCTGTCAGTTCGGCCCTCAGAGGTGGGTGAAGGCTGGCCCTGGAATTACAGACTGCCAGAGGTAGATCACGAAGTTCACCACCTGAATCTCGGCGCTTGGCACAGTGCGTGGTACACAGGGGACGCCCAAGAAACGGCTTGCTTGCAGAACAGAAAGAGTCCTCGAGTGCGCATCTGCTGGTCCCCTCTTTGTGCAGAAGGGAAAGGGGACACTGGGAGCGCCAGGGACCTGCGGGGCCCCGCCGCGGGTCAGGGCCGGCCTCCGGCTGAGCGCCATCCCGGGCCCAGGCGGAGGGGGCGCTGCGGCGGGAGGCCACGGCTGGCGGTGGCGGCGGGCCGGGGGCGGAGCGGAGGCGTGGCCGCCCCAGTGAGCGAGCGAGTGAGCGAGCGAGTGAGCGAGTGCCGCGCGCGCCGCCGCTGCCACCTCCGCTGCTCGGCCAGGTCCCGGAGCGGCCCGGCCGGCCCGCGGGGCGCGGAGGCGAGGCCCGCGGCCGGCCGCATGAAGGACTGCGAGTACCAGCAGATCAGCCCCGGGGCCGCCCCGCAGCCTGCCTCCCCGGGGGCGCGCCGCCCGGGCCCCGCCGCGCCCCCGACCCCCGGCCCCGGGCCCGCGCCGCCCGCCGCCCCCGCCCCGCCGCGCTGGAGCCGTAGCGGCAGCGGGAGCGGGAGCGGGAGCCTCGGCCGCCGCCCGCGGCGCAAGTGGGAGGTGTTCCCGGGCCGCAACCGCTTCTACTGCGGCGGCCGCCTCATGCTGGCCGGCCACGGCGGCGTCTTCGCGCTCACGCTGCTGCTCATCCTCACCACCACCGGCCTCTTCTTCGTCTTCGAGTGAGTTCCGCCGCCGCCGCGGCGCCCCCTCTCCGCCCCCTGCCGCGCACCTCACCTTCCCAGTCCCTACTGGACACTCCGTGCCCTCCCCTGCGCCTCCCTGGCTCTCATCCTCCCCGCCCCATTGGGGATCCTCCTGGGGCCTCTTGTCTGCCCCTCTGGCCCCTGTGCACCCCCATCCCCGCCAGACGCCTCATCTTCCCTGGTCCATTTGCGTACCCCATCTGCACTGGTGTCCTCCACCCTCCTAGCAGCTCCATCCTCCCTGGCCCCACCCTGGCACCTATCTGCCTGCCACTGCCAGGAACACCACCCTCCATTGGCCCCATCCTCGCTGCCCTCTCATAACCTGCACCTGGGCTCCTTGGACAGACCCCTTCTGCTCATCCATCCTGGACCATCTCTTGCCGGCCCCGCAAGTTCTTTCTGACCCTTATATCCCTTCCTGACCGGTTCTAGATTTCGTGTGTCCTTTGGCTGTGCACACGCACCATAAACATCCTGGTCATCCCCCCTGCCCTCTCCGGGTCCCTCAGGGTCCCCTCCATTTCTCTACTCTCAGACACCACCCTCTGCTTCTGCTTCCCCTCAGCCATTTACACCCCAGGCCCCAAGGCATCTTTTCTCAAAATCTTTGGGCCTGTCAGGCCCCCTTTCCTTCTCCAGCACCTTCCTTAGGTTCTCCAGAGCTTCCTGTCCTTCCCTCAGCCCCCACCTGCCTCCCCGCTGCTGGCTCCCAGGCCCTGGGACCCCTCCTGACCACCTGGCTTGCTTTCCCTGCTTAACATTCTGGAACGTCCCTCTGGCCTGTTCCACATCAGGAACAGCTGCAGGGCCTGGTTGTTTTTCAGGAAAAAGTTCTGAGTGCTTTCGCCTGACAGGTCATATTTGCCCCCCTTAGGTTTTTGACCTCTTCATATCCCCCACTGACCAGGATTGGCCCACACAGAATCTCCATTTTATGGCTGGAGGATCACATATTTGTATTGGAAGTTTTCCACCCACCTCTGACCTGCACTGTGATTCCTTGCGCACACACCCACCCTGTGCTTTAGGAGTCTCACTGTCCCCTCCCAACTCCCTATCCTTTGTGGCCATCCGTCTTAATTATACAATGTAGTTAAGAACTCTAACAGACCTGGTTCAAATCCCAGCTCCACCACCCGTAACTGCATGACCTCAGGGCAGTCACTTCGCCCCCTCAGAAACCCAGTTTCCTCATCAGTAAAATGGGATTTATAATAGTACCCACCCCATAAGGTTGTCCTGAGGGTGGGATGAGGGCAAGCATGCAAGCTTTTAGCCAAGTAACAAGCACTCAACGTTGGCTGCTGTTAGTACTTGTGTTGTCTTTATCAAAACAACACTTCCCAAGGCATGTGGCCATAGAGACACCTTTCTAGCTGCCAGCTCATATATCTGCAACCTTGGGTTTCCCCTTGAAGCAAGGTAAAGACTTCCTATAAATTAGCTTTTCTTTTCACCCTTTACCACACACTGCCCTTTTTTTCTGAGTAGAGTAGATAAAAAGTTCAGGGATGATTTACAAGCAGAAGCTCTGGGCTGAGTTTCGGATCCACTTCCCTGGGCCAGCCACGTGAGTGTTTTGGAAGTGCCTTTTCCAGTATCCCCTCGGCTGCCCTCTGGGTCCCCACACTCAGGGCTGCAGCTGAGGCAGGAGGAAGCAGTTCTTGCTGTGGTTGACCCTCATGACCCTGCAGTGTGCTGTCTGGCCTAACTTCTGAACTAGAAGCAGGACCTTCTTTGGGCTGGCTGAGTATCTTCACTGGTGACTAGCAAGGGAGAAGCAAGGACTTATGGGTTTGGGAAGAGCTTGTGAACCATGTTGTAGTTTGTCCCTGCTTGTCCTCATTGGGGGTTGGTAGATTTGGCAGAAGGTTTGGGTTTGGGTCAAGAGCTCTCCTGGGTCTGGACTAGATGCTTCCCATTGCTCTGGGAAAAAGGTAAGGTGCTCTCTAAGCCTTTCCTGCAAAATGGGTTTGCTTCTTTGTTTGGCTTCGTGGATTGTTGCACAGGCCTCTAGCAGGGCTCCCAATTTCTGCCTCACTTCTCACCCCCACACAGCAGCTGGAGCACCCTTTTGATTCTAAGTCAGGCCTGAATCCTCCCTGGCCCCTGCTCACTCTGTCCCTGTCTTCCCTCCAGGCATGTCTTCCTCCCTGCACACTCCTACCTCTGGGCCAGTGCTTGGAATCCTCTTCCTACAGGTGGCCTCATGGCTCACTGTCTCACATTAGGCCTGCCGGGTTCATCTGCACAGCATAGCAAACCACTCCCCTCCAGCACCTTTTCTCTCCCCTCATTTATCGTTCTCTGAAGCACTTGCCACCACCTGGCATATTACATTATACTTGTTTGTTAGTTTCTTGCTTGTCTTTGTCCATGAGAGCAGGAAATTCTCCTCTGTTGCATCCTTAGTGCCTAAACCAGCACCTAGTGTGCAGTAGATGCTCAATACAGTCAATACTTATTGAATGAATGAATTGACAGTATATTGGCTGGGAGCCTGGAAACCCTAGTTCTGACATTGGCTGGCTGGATGACCTTGAACCTGGCTGTGGGCCTGGGAGAGCTCTGGGAAAATTAGGAGGGTAGAAGTTGGTGGTTCCTGCAGGCTCTACGAGTCTTAGATTTCAAGTCTCTGTTCCTCCACACAAGTATGGTCTCATGTGAACTGGATTCATTGCCATGTGGGTGACACTGAGGGCTCACTGGTTCTGTTTGAGGGTCGGACCCAGAGACCATTGAGATGCATGGAGCAGAGCATGGCCTACTGGGAGCCCTTGGCCTGGCAGTCTGCTCCTCAGGGGAAGGACTTCTCTGGAGGCCAGAGCATCTGATGATTGAGATTTCAGAAGCAGCATGCAAGTGTCTGCTGGTGTGTGCCTACCATGCCACTCTTGGAAGCTTGGCTGGTCTCAGACCTCCCAGGGCCCTGTCATCTCCTTACCCCATCAGGTGCTACTCTGGTTCTGGGGTGGTGGCTAATAGCCTGAGCCTCAAAGTCAGACCTGGCTTGGGTCCCACTTTAGCACTCCTGAGCCACATGACCTTGGGCAGGTTACTTAAGCTCTCTGAGCTCTAGTTTCCTCATCTGTAAAGTGAGGAGTATAACTTCACAAGGTCTCAGTGAGGTTTTTTTTTTGAGATGGAGATTTTTTCCTGTTGCCCAGGCTGGAGTACAATGGCACGATCTTGGCTCACTGCAACCTCCACCTCTGGCTTCAAGTGATTCTCCTGCCTCAGCTTCCCAAGTAGCTGGGATTACAGGTGCCCGCCACCACGCCCTGCTAACTTTTTGTGTTTGTAGTGGTTAGACGGGGTTTCACCATGTTGGCCAGGCTGGTTTTGAACTCCTGACCTCAGGTTATCCACCCGCTTCAGCCTCCCAAAGTGCAGGGATTACAGGCCTGAGCCACTGCACCTGGCCCAGTAAGGATTTTATAAGAAAGTGCACAGGAACTGCTTAGCCTGGTACCTAGCCCATAGTAACTATCTGTACTTTGTATATTACTAATAGTAATTTATTAATTAGGGCAGTGTCTGGCACATAGTAAGCCTTCAAAAGATAGTAGCTATTTTTGTTTTTTTGTCTTTTTGTTTTTTTCCTTTTTGTGGAGAACAGGGTCTCGATATATTGCCCAGGCAGGTCTCAAACTCCTGGGCTCAAGCTATCCTCCTGCCTCTGCCTCCCTAAGAGCTGGGATTACAGGCGTGAGCCATAGCACCTGGCAATAGTAGCTATTTCTCTGTCGCCTGGCAGCAGGGAAAACCATTCATTCATTCAACAATTATTTACCGGGTACTTCTTTGGTGCCAGGTGCTGTGCAGCTGGGAATATAAAGCTGAACAAGAGAACATAGTCTATACCCACAGAGAAGGTTTTTTTTTTTTTTTTTTTCGAAATGGAATCTTGCTCTGTCACCAGGCTGAAGTGCAGTGGTGCAATCTCGGCTCACTGCAACCTCCAACTCCAGGGTTCAGGCAATTCTCCTGCCTCAGCCTCCTGAGTAGCTGGGATTACAGGCATGCGCCACCATGCCCAGCTAATTTTTGTATTTTTAGTAGAGATGGGGTTTCATCATGTTGGCCAGGGTGGTCTCCATCACCTGGCCTTGTGATCTGCCCACCTAAGCCTCCCAAAGTGCTGGGATTACAGGCTTGAGCCATCAAGCCCAGCCTACTTTTTTTTTTGAGACGGAGTTTCACTCTTGTCACCCAGGCTGTAGTACAATGGTGTTTACTCAACTTACTGCAACCTCTGCCTCCCAGGTTCAAGCAATTCCCTGTCTCAGCCTCCCAAGTAGCGGGGATTACAGGTGCATCCCACCATGCCTGGCTAACTTTCGTATTTTTATTAGAGACGGGGTTTCATCATATTGGTCATGCTGGTCTCAAACTCCTGACCTCAAGTGATCCGCCTGCCTCAGCCTCCCAAAGTGCTGGGATTACAGGCGTGAGCCACCATGGCTGGCTGAGCTTATGTTTTACTGGGGGGAAAAACAGCCATCATATAGACAAGTAGCTGAAATCTATACTAAATGTTATGCAGGAAAGAAAGCATTGAGGAAGTTCGCTGTGTACAGAGTTGTCAAGGAAGGTCTTTCTGAGGAGGAAAGAGGAATCTGAGAAAAGGAACAGTAAGTGCAAAGGTCCTGAGGTAGGAGAGAGCCAAGCTTGTTCTGGGAACTGTCATGAGGCTATTCTGATGGGAGGAGCAGGAGTGAGAGGAGAGTTTTGCAGAATGAGGCTGAATCAGTAGGGTCCAGATAATTCCTGGCCTAGAAGGCCATGGTAGGGAGTTTGGATTTTATTCAAAGTATAATGGGAAGCAATTGGGAGGTTTTAAGCAGTGAAATGACATGAACTTATTGACATTTCCAAAAGATGGTTCTGGCTTCTGGGCGGATAGCAAGGTAACAACAGAGTGTATTGGCCACAGAGAGAGAGCCCTGATAGCTTCACTATCATGAGGCCATTCTCCCACCAGTGCCCAGACTTCTAGAATGTCTTAGCTGTAAGATGGAGGAGGGGGCTTGAGGAGGGCTGTGGAACCCTGTGGTAGGCAGCCTGCCTGGGGGACAGAAGCGTGACCATTCAGCTGGCACAGGCCCTGAGGCAGCCAGGCTCAGGAGGTCTGACAGCACTGCCTTGGGGATGCCTCCCTCCCTTGGGTCACAGTTGACAGTGGCTGGACCATGCAATTCCCCCAGCCCTCCACTCGTGCTTCAGGTGGGAGTTTAGGATTATCTCCTTCAGGTTGCCTTTCCTGACTGTTGCACTGTGTTCCCCTCCCCCCCAACTAGAGCACACATCACTCTGTGTGGCAATTACCTGTTTACATGTCTGTTTTCCCCACTAGACCATAAGCCACAGCAGGGAGGGACTCTTATTCACCACCGTTATTCCTGCTGCATTGAAGGTGTTGCCTCCTGGCACAAAGAAAACCTCAGTAAATGTTTGTGGAGTGAGTGAGTGAGTGAATGAATGAATGAGTGAGTGAACACTGTAAGATGGTTTGACTTAGGTGACAGTCCACTTCACCAGCATCTGCCTGAGGCTCTGTGTATAAAGGGATTCTCTGAGTGCAGAGGTTAGGAGTACTGGGATCTATTGAACACACCTGCCATGTGCTCAGGAGAAAAGTATAACACAAGGATCAATTAGTAATGTCTGTTCCAGGTACTTGTGGGGAAGTGACTGCACTCACTCAGAGCGAGGCTGTGTTCAAGACTGTGGTGGTGTTTGCTGGAATGACAGTGCCTGCCAGGTGCTATAGCCCTGTGCTGCAGGAAGCCCTTAGGGTGTCTGCTGATCTCTCTCCATCTCTTGTTCCAGCTGTCCCTACCTGGCCCGAAAGCTGACCCTTGCCATCCCCATCATCGCTGCCATCCTCTTCTTCTTCGTCATGAGCTGTCTGCTGCAGACGAGCTTCACCGACCCTGGGATCCTGCCCCGGGCCACTGTCTGTGAAGCAGCCGCCCTGGAGAAACAGATCGGTGAGGTTTCTACTCTCAGCCAAAGCTGGATCTCTATTGCTCCACATTCCCTGACTTGGGAGGAGGCCTGGTTTTCTCTTCCAAAACTATGGTGGGAACTGGGGATGCAGTTGTGAGCAAGGCAGGCTGGAGCTGACACCGGCATAGAGGGAGACAGATGATCAACAAGCGAGCAAATAAGTAAGCCAGAAAAGCTGGCCAGCAAAGGCCCCTATGGCAGCCAGCGTGGAGCTGAGTGTGCTTCCTGGGGGCCAGGCACTGTTTTAAGCTCTTTATATGCATGATCTTATTTACTCCCCCAGTAATCCTATGAGGTAGGTACTGTTGGTACTTCCCTTTTACTGATTAATTAAATCAAGGCAAAAGAAGTTACGTAAATGGTCCAAGATCACATAGTAAGTAGAAGAGCTGGGATGAGACCTCAGGCCAGAGCCCCTGTTCTTAAACATTCATAGACACTTATTCATTCCCTCATCAAATATTTATTGAGCCCCTACTATGTGCCAGGCACTTTTCTAGATGCGGTGTAGCAGTGAACAAAATTGACAATAATCCCTGTCCTCATGGAGCTTGACAGTTGAGGAGGAGGAAAGAGGCAATAAACAAATAATTAAATATTTAGAATGTCAGACAGAGAAGAAAGGAGGGAGGACGAAGGTGTTTGATTTTACATAAGGTGGCCAGAGAATGTCTTGTGAAGGAGGTGACGTCTGAGCAAAGAAGCACCAGCCTGAACAGATGAGGGCTTGAGCGTGGGGTTATCTAGGGAAGAGCACAGGAGGTGTCGGGGAGCGGGCTAGTTTAGATTAGGTGGTCATGGGAGCTCTCCAGGAGGAGGCGGCACTGGAGATAGAAATATGGGGACCTGGGAAGTATAAGGCCTAAGCCCAGAGTGGCAAACAGCCTGAGTGTGTGTGAGGAACGGCAATGGCTGGAAAGACTCTGTACTCCCAGGCAGCCCAGGTGGCCCTTGATTCCTTTCAGATTGCTGTGTGGGTTCCGGGGTGGCGGGGCACTGGGGCCGGCTCCCTAATCTCAGCTTGCTGCACCCCAGCTCCTTCCTGCTGAGAAGTGACGTGGCTACTTGCACACCTCAGGGGTTTCCGGTCCGTGGTTAGCTCCTTCCCTTTACAGGGTGGTGTTCACATAAGACTTTTAAACACCCAGCTGGCCCTGAAGACATCTAGTGGCTTGTAAATGTCAGAGCCCTGCTGCATCCATCGCTGGAAATCGTTTCACTAATGCTGGACATTGTTTCACTAATTCTCTGTGCAGCAAGGAGTGGGGAGGGCAAGCAGCTGGAAAGGATGCTCTCTGGGGCTCTATCTGTTCTTTGTCTCATTCTTCCGCCTGGGCCCATCCTCAGCCACGCCCAAAAGCACCACCTCCTGTCGCCTACGTCCATCTTCCTTCCCTCAAACTCTGGGTGCCTGGTTACTACTTCAGGATCCCACAGTCTGACCTGGGCTAGCCCACCTGGCTCGACTGTACCCTGTTCTTCCTCCCCTTTAGGTCAGGGCTAATCGTGAGACAGGATTATGGTCCAGCTTAGCTGTACCCAGAGGTCTCTGGCTGCCTGGAATCCCTGGCCTCCTGTGAGCAGTGTGGATCACAGTGACAGCAGTAATCCCCCTCGTGGGGAGAGCTTGGCCGTGTGCTAAGTGCTTTCCGTCCGTTATCCCCACAAATCTTCACAACAGCCCAGGGAGGGTGACCCTATTAACCAGTTGTTCTGATGGAGAAACTGAAGCAGGTGATCATGGGACCAGGGATAAAGGTGCAGAGACAGAGTAGGTAACTTTGACTCCCAAACCCCTTGCTTACTCTTCTGAGATGGCAGCAGGGACACATCTCCTTAACCTCTGTCTCCACTCATTTCCTGTGCTCTGGGAAGCCTTCCTGGCCTGTTGGGCCAGGCCTTCCATGGCACATTCCGAGAGCACCTTCTCCTTCCTTCTCTGTCCCTGTGCTGCAATGGTGCTCGTTACAAAATTGTCCTTTCTACTGGCCTGTGAGGGCACAGAATGCGTGTCTTGTTCACCTCGTTGCCATGTAGAAGGCTCAGTGATGCTGGCTAATTGAGTAAATGAATGACTGAAGAATGGATGAGCTTTTGTGAAGACCCTCCTTGCTCTGTCAGGGTGACAGGTGAGGAAACAGTTGGGACTTCTCCCAGTTAGGGATTACAAGTTTGTTAATTTGTGTGTTAATTCTATCTGCTGACTCCTGACAGCAGAGTGAAGGTGGGTGGAGGCCAAAAATGAATCTGATAAGAGCTTCCTCTCCTCATGGGTTCCAGATGAGTTGACCCCAGGTGGGAGGCCTGACTACAGTGAGATCAGGTTTTAGAAGAGGGTCAGAGGAGTCAGGAGCATCTTCTGCCTGGGGGACTGGAGAAGCTTCCCGGAGAAGTGATGCTTGAGCCAAGCCTTTAAGTTTGGGTGGAATTCCAGCATAGGAGTGGTGTGGAGGCAGCCCTTCAGGCAGACGAGGCTGAGGGAAGAGAGGGATGGCAGAGGGAAGGGGAAGGGATAGGGATCTGAGGGATAGGGAACTGAGCAGGCCATGTTGGCTGGAATATCAGGAGTACTTCAGATAGGGATATTAGGGATATTCCAGTTGGAAGGATGGAGTGGAATCAGTCTTGTAGGGTGCTGAATGTCAGGGCCTAAGACTTTTCTTTGGGAATAGTTACCAAGCATAAAAGTGGCATTTGGGGGGCCTTTGAATTCTCAAACTTGAACAGAAGCCAAATTTGGGGGCGTGGCCAGAAATTTCTAACTAACTGAAGTAAAACATATTTCCCAGGGCCGGGCATGGTGCTCACACCTGTAATCCCAGCACTTTGGGAGGCTGAGACAAGTGGATCATGAGGTCAGAAGATCCAGACCATCCTGACCAACATCATGAAAAATTAAAATTAGCCAAGGCAGGAGAATCACTTGAACCCAGGAGGCAGAGGTAGCAGTGAGCCAAGATTACACCACTGCACTTCAGTCTGATGACAGATTGAGACTCTGTCTCAAAACTAAAACTAAAACAAAAATGTATTTCTCTGAAAATGATCAGGACTAAGATTCCTGAACCTTTTCCAGAAGGTTGGGAGCTGTCTCAGAGGCAGGTGATGCTGTTCATGTGAACATGAACTGATTACCTGTTCCTAGGCTCATGTAGGCAGTGTGGGCTTCTCCCTTTGGCTCCCCCACCCAGCAACTCTAGCCCAACAGGTCTGGCCCAGGGCTCCTGCCCTGTGGGGACAGTCTGAGGCAGAGTGACCAGTTCCTCCCAGTTTAAATAAATAAAGTATGTGTGTGTGTATACACTTCATATATATATATTTTTTAAAAACAGAGTCTCGCTCTGTTACCCACACTGGAGTTCAGAGGCGTGATCTCAGCTTACTTCAACCTCCACCTCCTGGGTTCAAACGACTTTCCTGCCTCAGCCTCCTAAGTAGCTGCGCTTATATGCACACGCCACCACATCTGGCTGATTTTTGTATTTTTAGTAGAGACAGGGTTTCACCATGTTGGTCAGGCTGGTCTTGAACTTCTGACCTCAGGTGGTCCTCCCACCTCGTCCTCCCAGAGTCCTGGAATTACAGGCATGAGCCACCACACCCGGCCCCTCTTCTGTCTTCTTAAAAACTCACTGATGAGATTGAGGCGAGCTGCATCCCACCCTCCCGCTCCTCTCTTCCCGGTCCCTGGCACCCCCAGCCACGCTGCGCACTGGATGCCTCAGTACGTTTGCTTGTGCTTGTGCTGTCCCACCTGCCCTGGTGAGCCAGAATGCTTGTTCTTTCTTTCTTTTTTTTTTTTTCTTTTGAGATGGAGTCTCCCTCTCTCGCCCAGGCTGGAGTGCAGTGGCATGATCTCAGCTCACTGCAACCTCCACCTCCTGAGTTCAAACAGTTCTCCTGCCTCAGCCTCCTGAGTAGCTGGGACTACAGGTGTACACCACTACACCCGGCTAATTTTTATATTTTTAGTAGAAATGGGGTTTCAGACTGGTCTTAAACTCCTGACCTCATGATCTGCCCATCTCAGCCTCCCAAAGTGCTGGGATTACAGGTGCGGGCTACCACGCCCGGCCAGTGCTCATTCTTTCTGATCCAGCTTTGCCGCCACTTCTTTTGTTGCTTTCTTTCTTTTTAAATTCTATTTTGTAGAAACAGGTACTTGCTATGTTGCCTGAGCTGGTCTTGAACTCCTGGACTCAAGCAATCCTCCAGCTCAGCCTTCCAAAGTGTTGGGATTACTGCATTTGGGCTGTTGCTTTCCTGAATGCTGCCTCCTGCCTCCACCCCACATATCTCCCTCTGTGTTCTTGAGTCTTTGAATATAGACACCAATAATGTCATTTATTGAATAGCTATGTAGGTCAGATCTTGATAGTATGTCATTTCTGATTTGTATAAACTTTTACAAGGTTGATGTCATGATTACCCATTTCGGAGGTGAGGAAACTGAGGCTCAGAGATTAGGCAGCTTCTTAAGGTCACAGGCTAACAAGTGGCCATGCCAGCGTTCAAAATAAGATCAGGCCAGCCCAGAGTCACCACACAGAGGCACTGCCTTGTAGGAGGACTCTAATTATCCACTTCTGTCTGACTCTGCCATCAGGCAATCCCTTCCTGTATCCACAGGCCTGGTACTAAGCCTGGTTGTGGTAAAGGCTCCATGAACCCCAGAGGTGGGCAGAAGTGGTCTGGGAGGATTATGGTGACCTGGCACTCAGGGCCTGGGTCCTGTGGCTGACCTTGAGCTGGCCTTAGAGGTGGGAAGACTGTAGTCCTATAGCTGTTTCCTCTTCAGGTGACATCAGTGGAAGGGCAGAGGGAAATCAGGGCCTTCTCAGCAGCCTGCGGCCAGCCCTGAGGAACTTCTGCAGCCCCAGCCTTTCAGACTCTGATCACAAAATGCCTGCCTGCTCCTCTCCGAGAGCTGTCTTAGGGTGGGGAAATTCCTTTGCTCTCACAGCCATTCAGTGATGAGGAG